TGGCAAAATCCGGTCATTTTGCCACTGAATCCCAGCAGTGCAGTTGCAGAGAGGTTTCGAGTGAGTTCCTGGGCGTGGCAAGATGCCAACCTCTGCGTAGAAGCAACAGTTGAACAGTTGAACAAGGGATAGGAAGCCTGAGAAGGTGCTGCTGAAAGGGAGTTTAGGTTTGCTTACGTTTGTGGGGTTGGGAGGGGAAGGAAGACTCCAAGATGAGCTTCTAGGAATTCTAGAGGGAATCGTATATATATTGTCTTGTATTCGGGTCTTTTCCCGTGTAAGATTGAGATTGTCTTGGCAACGTTTCGGCGAGACCAAATTGTTTCGGCCAAAACAATCTCAATCTTACACGGGAAAAGACCCGAATATAACAAGACCAGCATACCTACACCCATGAAAATATATATATATATATATATATATATATATATATATATATATATATATATATATATATATATATATATATATATATATATATATATATATATATATATATATATATATATATATGTATATACTATGTGTTTTTTTAATTTGTGCTGATAAATAAATAAAGGGAGACTAGTATAGATCTATTTCAAGCTATTTAGCTCTCATCAGCTAGCCATACCCTTACTGGGATTTGAACCTGGGCTATATTACATCCTAGGCAAACTTCTTAGCCATTAGGCCACAGGCTCTTATCCGTTATCAGCGAAGCCAGGGTGAAAGGTATCTATTAGATTTTTTACAACCCCTGGTAAGCCCCAATTATGGGAGGGTTAGCTTCCTCCCATAATTGGGGCTTACCAGGGGTTGTAAAAAATCTAATATATATATATACTATATTTCTACACATATTAAGAGAATATAGTCAGCACTCTCCATTTGCCTTCCATTATTTTTATGTAGAAGTTTACTTGCTGGTGCAATGAATTATTCCAGACTGTCACAATCTGTAGGCTTCCTGCCTGCTGTCAACTGACAAGAATAAAAACAACTGACCATCCACATGAGTCCAAAGCTGTCAGATAAAACCATGTTAGTTGCTTAACAACCGGTTGAAAAAGGTAATCCTTGTTAACCACTGTGGCTAGGGTCACTGAGATGGCCAAGAGATGGTGGTAACCGCACTTAGGGTGGGATGCAAAATAACAAAAACATTTTTAAGTGGGAAGAGTCTTGCCAAGCAGACCAGCACCTAAAATATAAAATAATGATGCACCCGGGTAGATTGGCAAGTCAAAATTGCTTTTTTCTCTCTCTGAAATGCCACAGCTCTTTTGTTTCTGCAAGTGGTGATCGCTCTCCTGTAATACTTGAGTATGAAATTAAATTAGGTAGGCTAAAATGTGCGCAAATATAAGCACTTTATTGGGGGGGCGGGAAAGGGGAAATCTCATTTTGAAATACAATTTATTTAGGCAATGGGACTGTTTGCAGAAGAAAGGGGTGGGGTCAGAATGTAGACTATTGTCAAAAAGAGGCATTGCTGGGAAATGTTTCTTAACATTTAGGCTTAAGTCTAAATGTGTGATTATGCAGATATGTAGTATTGGTTGGCTTTCTACGGATATAGATAAATACCTAAGCTTTTTTCAGAACTGATTTTTTAAATAAAAAATAAATGTTGCACAATTGCCAGAGAATTATCAACAGGAGGCTCTCATATGATTCTAAGTGGTCCTTAGGATTAAAATGTGTAGAGGGTTTACAGATGTGGCCTTTAGTAGACTGCTTCAGTCACAAGTATAGTTTGTATTTTTAGTGAACACCCATTTTTGTTGTGTTTGTAGGTGTGTGTGATTTTTTTTTTTTTAATGTTAACTGTGTCCTGTGATGTCAGCATGCATGTCAAACTCCTAAATCCATTGTGGAAATGTATTGTGGAGAGATGTATGCGATGAGACAAGGAGGCCTAGAGGGAGCCGATTCGATTTGGAAGAGGGGATGCGTTTTCTTCTTCCCTAGCGCCCTCCCCTCCCGCCCACGTTAAAAAATTGGAGTTGTTTTCAAATGTATACAATTGTTTTTGAAGTTGAATGTTGAACAAGTCAGTGAGTGAGACAAGCTTTGAGAGACATTTTTTTAAAAAACATAAATTTGGTTGTTTTATGAAACTGAATAGTTTATTGATACATATTTTTTTAACACTACATTCCTCTCTGTCTTTAATAAACAAGTACTTTACAGTCTGTGTTGCTACGCTTCATGCTTTCTCATCTGCATGGGTATTGCCAGCAGCATGATCGGCCGTATTGCTTAAAGAGATATTGTACCTGCCAGTAACACACAAAAAGAAAGCAAAAATGAAACACTGTGTATGAACAAAATACTGTGTTGCCTGATATACAGATCCCAGCTCTTAACTGAGGTGCTGCACTAGTAGACAATCAAAATCTATGGAAGACTTTGGGGGTGGGTGGGGTGGGGTGGGGTATGTTCTTAAAAGATACAGCTGCTTTGAAAGTGTTTTTTATTCTTAAAAAGTATTTATTTTTTAAATGGTCTAATTGGATACTTTTCAGTGTTGATTTCACATTGTCTTGGTTTTTGCATTTTTAAAATTTGGCATTAGATTTGTATATGTAGGAAACCTGTGTGAATTTTCATGATCTGACATCAGGAACTGTAGATATGGATCCTTAAGTGTTCATGTGATCATTACCAAGTGTCAGTTTTTAACTGAATAAACATAACATTTGAAATTTCTGCTTCGTGGCATGAAGGTTTTGATCATGTTTCCGGCTTGAATACTTCTTCTTGCTGACTTGGTATCTAGACTGTTACTTTTCTTCTTCAACATCAATCAGAAAGAATTTTGAGTGGGGTGGAGGGAAGAGGATGAAATTGCAAATACAAGCGGCGCCCTTTGGGTTTGGCTGGTGCGAATTGTGGCTCTTTTTGCGTTACAGTGATCGTGTTAATCATCTAGGACAGTGTTTCTCAACCTTGGCAACTTGAAGATGTCCGGACTTCAGCATTCGCTGGCTGGGGAATTCTGAGAGTTGAAGTCCGGACATCTTCAAGTTACCAAGGTTGAGAAACACTGATCTAGGACAGTGTTTCTCAACCTGGGCAACTTTTCAGATGTATGGACTTCAACTCCCAGAATTCTCCAGCCATCTTAAAAGTCCATACATTTTAAAGTTGTCCCAGATAAAAAAAAAACACTGATCTAGGATAATAGTGCTGTCTCCAACCTTAGATACCTATCTCTCGCTAACACTGAACAGGACTTCCTTGCATTTCTAGATGGATGGAAAAAGAACAACATTCACTATTCTTTTTCAACGCTCATGCTTCTGACCAAATTTTAAATTTGCAGTGAGTGGTAGGAAGAACAATAATTTAGGCTGCCAATTTGTTTTATTTTCAAGGATCTGAGATCTGAAAATCTTAAGGATTGCCACATAACTCTTGAAAGTCCCAGGATGAGAAATGACCTAGATTTTGAATCTTTCAAGAGTCTCTACAGCTTTCCCTATTGACTTGGATGGGGGAAACGAATACTGGTTTATAGAGCAGTGTTTCTCAACCTTGGCAACTTGAAGATGTCTGGACTTCAACTCCCAGAATTCCCCAGCCAGCATTTGCTGGCTGGGGAATTCTGGGAGTTGAAGTCCAGACATCTTCAAGTTGCCAAGGTTGAGAAACACTGTTATAGAGTCTGTGCTGTTTCAATGGCCATAGGATTTCAGTCTCTGCGATTTCTTCCCTGCGTTAAATAAAATCACGTCCGATAAGATTTCATAGATGTGATTTTGTTTTGTTTTTTTAATTCTAATTGAATGTAAGACCCATTTGCTTTTTTAAATAAAATGTAAGTAACCGTTCCAGGAATTTACCTAAATAATAGTTCAACAAGTCTCAAACATTAGGATTAGGAAAAGCCAAATGCAGTTACAGAATAGGTGGAACCTGGTTCAATAGTAATAATTCTGAGAGGGATCTAGTTGTCCTGTTGGATCACTACTTAAGTTTGAGCCATTGCAATCCTGGCCTGCATCAATGGAAGGTTAGCATCAAGATGATGGGAACTGACACTACTGCTGTAGAGTGTACTACTGAGGCACGCTTGAAAGAAAGGATCCAATTCTAGTCACAATACAAAAAAGGGGTGTGACCCTTTAGCAATAGCAATAGCAGTTAGACTTATATACCGCTTCATAGGGCTTTCAGCCCTCTCTAAGTGGTTTACAGAGTCAGCATATCGCCCCCACAGTCTGGGTTCTCATCTCACCCACCTCGGAAGGATGGAAGGCTGAGTCAACCTTGAGCCGGTGAGATTTGAACCGCTGAACTGCAGATAACAGTCTTTAAATCAGGGGTCTCCAACCTTGGAAACTTTAAGACTTGTGGACTTCCAACTCGCAGAATTCCTCAGCCAGCTTTACAAACAGGATCCCCCACCCCCCCTTTTTTTTTGGCTACAAGATGGACAACTAGATTGCTCAGTAATAGCAATGGGCAAATCCAGAATCCTGCTGGCAGATTGAAAGAGCAGCATTAATTGAACTTATTTTCAAGAAACTAATTCCATTCCAAGCAATGGGAAGATACTGGTTTTATACCCGCAAAATAGCTGATTTAAATTCTTTCCTACTCCAGGCACATGATATAAACATGAAGAACGCTTTGAACCCCAGCTTTCTTTGAATGGCTTCTGAACTTCTAGACTGGGGGGAGGGAGGGGTGGGGCAAAAAGGAGGGGTAATTCAGAAGGCAAAAAGGAGGGGTAATTTGGAACTCTCCCATTTGATCAATCTTATCTCAGCCTTCTTATTACAGTATTGGTTAGGAATAAAGCTTTAATTTGGGGAAGGGGTTCCCCCATATTGGGGCAGTGCCATACGTTACGTAAAACATCATCTCTAGCAGCAGCTTATGTACCAAATGGCTACACAATGTATTAAGGCAAGAACAAAGCATGTGGCACTGAATCGGTGGCGAATTCTCATTTTTCCATAACTGACAAAGCAGCATGACTTAAAATTAAAAACAATAGCAATCATGGGGAAATCACAGAAATATTTATCCATCAAAGGTACTGGAATAAAAAGAAATGGGCACAATCACTAAAAATATAAAATATTGAACTGTACACATTATTTTCCTCTTGAATGAAACCAAAATGCATTTTAATTGCATTTCTAGAATAGGAAATACCTATTTTTTAATCCACTTTGCTCCATATTATTATACTTACTAAAAAGAAAACAATAACCACTTTAAGAATATTTTAATCTGAAAATGCATCAAATGTTCAAATATAAAAAAAATGATCTTGTAAATAGCTAGATGGATTCTGTATTTTGAGACCGTTTCTGAATTAGCACATTCCGTATCCTGATTCTTCCACCATGTTCAATGTCTTGAATAGATGACTTAATTGTTGGCATAGCTCTTCATTTCTGATTGTGGGACCATGTACTTGAGAAATAAAATCAAAGGTTTTTTTTTTTTCAAGCAGTGTTTTTTTTGGACATCTGCAAGTAAAATAACTCCACAAAATTTCAGGAGCCGAACCTCAGTTGATCTGAGTCGGTACAGTAAGCAAATGTACATTATTCCTATCCCAAATATATATAGATCATGTAATTGTCCAGCAGATACCGTATCTACAAAACATATCAAACTAATTGTTGACTATAAAAATTACAGCATTCCACCTTCAGTGCTTGTTTGAATAAGTAGCTGTACATTATATACAGGAAGCTGAATGGCAGTCACTGGTTCTAATTTTGTATTTCAAGGAAAATGAGGAAAAAAGTCCTGCTAAAATCCAACATCTGGGCTTATAAATAGTGCAGAGAATGCAAATGCTAAAAAAACAATGCCTCCTATGATTGTCACTGCAAAAGAAAAAAGAAAAATAACCGGGTGGTTAGAACTTATATAAAGGACAAAATATCACAAGGCTTTCTTTTTGTATTTATGAAATTACTTTCATGCCTCTACTTCTTACCAGCATCTAATCAATCAAGACACCCACCCTATATATTTCCAACATGGTCAGAGTTAAGGAGTTATAAACGACAAGCTTTAGTTAGTGTTTATATGCTATAAGAAATAATCCACATCAAAAGATTTTTGTGCAATTCAGCAAAAATTTGAACCACAAAAGACCTTATCTTTGTGGATGGCTTTCATAGGAATCATGTACTTTCCCTTTTTGTTTTTTATATTTTTAAATTCCTTTTAGGCTTTTAAAAGTTATTTTTGTATTGTGTGTGTGTTTTTTAATCCTATACACCAGTGTTTTTCAACCACTGTGCCGTGGCACACTAGTGTGCC